ATAATAGTCATTCTACGAATTTTTGTTATTATGTATTTTGAATTTATTCCACCAATTCATCGAATTTCATGAATTCCGTGAATTTCGTGAAATTCATGAATTGGTGTGACGCCGGATCCGGGGTGTCGATCTCCCCCTCACAACGCACGTACTGTACGTACTGTACGCGAAAATTCTTGCCGATCACTTCGGGTGAATTCTCCTAACCAATCAGATCGCTAGAAACAACTATACGCACTATACGTACTGTACGTACTGTACGTACTGTACGCGAAAAAAAATTGGGTATCATATTCGATATAAATGGCACATCACTAGTCAAGCATCATTAGTACTTACCCCCGAAGTTACAAAAAGGCATCCTTTTGTCTTGAGAAAATGCAACAAGTTTTCTCCGTCCTATATTAAATAAAGGTCTACTGTCCCTTCAAAATAAAGAATCATAATTAATATTTAAACGTGTGCCTCTTGAAACACCATACTCGACCTGCTAAATCGAATCCGCTTCTAATCCGTTGGGTGGTGTGTTGAGTTTTTGAATTCTCCGTGTCGTTGTACCCGTAGCATAGCTTGCTGCAATAGACATATATAATTTAAAAAGTAATTAATTGAATAGGTTGGGATCTAAAATTTTTATCTTAAAATATTCAGTATGAATAAATCTACAAAGGATGAACCAAGTAATATTCATGTTAAAGATAATTGTGGATATGAAGTTTTGTTTACTATTAAATGAAACATGACAAAAATAAAGAGTCGATAAATTACTGTATTAGAAATTGTTCTAGATAATTAATATAAAGGCTTTAAATAATCGTGGATCTATTTACAGAAAAAATTATATAGATGTAGCTTATTTAAGGTTTGGAACTTGTACAAATTTTAAGGAATTTAATATTGGATTTTTTATTGACATTCTTGTGAAAATTCTGAAATAGACAAATTTATAAATAAATTCTAAATATTATAAATAAAAGTAATTGAATTTATGTCTTTTTACAATTAATAAATATTAAGCAAATTGGTAAGATGGATTGTGCACCAATAAAAATTATTTTAAATATTTCTTAACATATTTCTAGTGCTTCAAACTGGTCAGGCTAACCTGAAATCTGAAAGTTAGATCAGGTCAAGCATATCAACTCAACCTGAAAATTTCAAAGAGCTAATAATTAACATAAAAAAAAATTTTTTCGTCTAATAGTATAGATTTTTAACCGAAGCCTTTCTATAAGAAAATAGGTTTGAACACAAGTATGATGCCAATTGAGCAAGAACTGATGCGTGCTCTCCAGGGCTTAGCTGTGCTCGATAATTAAATTCTCATGTTTCTCAGTTAGTTTAATGTGTTCGAAATTCTGCAAATTAAGTTGATTCTTTGTTTGCAGAAGATCATAGTTATCTTTAAGAAAAGTTAGGTGATACTTGAAACGATAATGGGAAGTATTGATGCAAGTATATACAAGTTTAGAGTAACACAATGATATGCGTGTGCATTATTTAAAGATTTTTTTTTTGTGATATGCGCTTTGGCCTTTTTTTACACCAATATTTAAGGATAATAATGATTAAATTCTACGACCGTCTTTCTCAAGATCTAACTGACCTTCTTGAGAATGAATATGATTATAATGTCACCATTATAGTTGGACAACCACCAAAATGTAAACCATATAAAGCGCATTCAGCTATTTTGTATCAAAGGTCTCTATTCTTTCGACGAGAGTTGGGAGATGCAGAAAAAAATGAAAATCGCATTAAGGAAATCCGTATTGATCATATTTCTCCTGAGATATTTGACATGATTATCAAGTGAACTATATTTCTTATTAAAATGTTAATAATTCTTTCCTGTTCACAATAATGGTTTATTTAGTCATCTTTTGCTCATTTAGGTATATATATGGTGGCTTTGTTTCCTTAGATAACTTGAAAACTTCTGTTATGTTTGGTCTTATGGATGCTGCCAATGATTTTGGACTCGTAGAATTGACTAAACATATCGAGTCTCATATGATTGAACATAATGCTAATTGGTTATGTCTCAATTTTGCTCGTGCCCATAGATTAAGTTATCGTAACGAAAATTTAAAAGAATTACAACAATTTTGTACAAACATCTCTACAAAATATCCTGATTTAGTGTTTAATTCTAGGGACTTTACCTCTTTGCATGAAAGTGTTTTTACTTCTATTCTTGGTAGTGATAAATCCGAAATTGATGAAGCTTCAAAATTTGAACATGTCATTAAATGGGGCCTTGCTCACAATTCAAAGATACCGCCTTCACCTGAAGAATGGTCCGAAAGTGATATTTTAACCATGAAATCCTCTCTCAAAAAATGTTTACCTCTTATTCGATATTCTCGAATCAATAGCGATGATATATTTAACAAAATTCGTCCTTATCAACAAATTCTTGATGAAAATGTTTGGGCCGATATGATGAAAAGATACATGGCTCCTCCCAAACCCCCAAAAAGTCCTTCGATGAATCCAACCCCTACACCATTATCTTCTCGAGCAATCTCGGTTATAATTCCACAGCATAATCCAGTTTCTTCTCATTCAAATATTACAGAAAAACATGATCAGCTTTCTCGTGAAGTTGTCTCTTCCTTAAAAATTTCTTCTTCCCATTCTTATTCTACAATAATTCCTGACGAACAAATTGCCGAAATTGCCTCTTGGATTGATAATCGTTCGTCACCCTATGATACATCAAATAATCCTTACGAATTTCAATTGATTCTTCGTGGTAGTCGTGATGGTTTTAATTATAAAACTTTTTGGGATTTATGTGATAAACAATCTCATACAGTTGTTATATTAAGAATTAACGAATCTAATGAAATCTTAGGTGGTTATAATCCTTTAGAATGGGATAAAAAAAAATATAGAGGATGGAGTAAAACCAATGATAGTTTTATTTTCAAATTAGGAATTGATAATTCATCTGAAACTATTCTTAGTAGAGTTCAAAATCCTGATCAAGCGATATTTGAATCTTATTATGATGAAAATGGTCCTAATTTTGGTGGTAGCGCTCTTAGGATGAAAGATAATTTCAGAAATGATAAATCTTGTGTTTGTTTGGGTCATAAAGGGTACGAAAAACCTATTAGAACTACTAAAACTCCGTTTTCTGTTGATGAGTATGAAGTATTTAAAGTAGTAAACAAACCTGGCTCAAAAATTCCTGGATAATTATTTAAATTTTTTCCTTTTTTATTCATATGTAATTTTTTTTATGCGGCCATATATATTTATTTAAATGTTTATATAAATTGGATGACTTTGGTTGTATTAGCAATATTATCTTTACTAATGATTTCTTAATATCTCTAATTAATTGGTCTAAAGCTTGAAATTTAATTTTCTATTAACATCTCGACAGATTTGTGGAATTGGACCTTTATTTTAAGTTCCAAAATGAGCCTTCTTTATATAACGGTCCAATTTATAGGGGTATTTAGAAAAGGTCCATTTCCACATTTAAGGTATTCTCAAACGCAGACATCTACCTAGTTATTCTAATTGCTAAAATTTAAAGTCCACGTTTTGTACGATGAATTTTTAGCATATTTTTATTAAGTAATTGAGTATAATTATGTGCTATATTAAAGCCATACTTTCAACGAGACGACGGGTATCGTTATAAATCTGTTTAATCCAAGTACAAACTACCTCAAAATCGATACATTTCATGTACTTCGTCTAAAACCTTCTTTTCTTTTAATATCTTTTATATTAAAGAGCAAATAAATACGACGTACGTACCTGCATGTTTATTTATTGCGATAAGTTTTTACTATTACCAATTTTCTAGAAATTAAAAAAAGTACATGAAAAAAATGATTATAAAAAAACCATCTCTTATTTATCCTACACATTAACACTGAATTTATGATTAACCCACCAAAAATGCTATCACTGCACTTATTTCCAAGATATTACTATAGTATAAGAAAAATTGACTAGTTATAGTATTATTTCACGTGAAGAAAAATAATATTCTGTAATAAACTACAGATAATTTTATTTGTAAAACTTGTAAATAGGTAAAGAGAAATATTATACTTGGAAAGCTGTGTAGGACTTTTAATATGACATTCAATATCAAGATTTAGTTACTATTGTAACTGATATATCTAAATAATTATTATATTTACCTCTTGTAATAAATCTCCTTATACCTTATGAGAAAAGTAGTTTGGGTAGTGTTATGGTTTAGCACGTAGATGTCCGTAATAACACATGTACTGTGGTACTCCACATGGAATCTCACGATTCAAAATGACATGAATCAGCACGTTGCTGGCTATCCATAGTTGCACGTTGAAAAGGTCTGGAAAGGTTTTGAACTGATACTTATCTGGAAAGACGGTTTGGAGGATTTGGTCCAGGTTTTAGGGATCTTGTGGATTATCCTGGTTTCTGGAGGTAAGTATTCTCTTAGTATTAACCTTTACTTCTAATTGTTTCCGTTCTAAAACTTTATGTTATTCTTTCGTTGTTATTCTTCTGAGTCATGTGGTACGTGATCTAGTCTACTTTCCGATTGGCTAGTACTTTAATCAAGGAGTTCATTAATAAGACTACAGTATCTGTTTTTTTAGGGATGAGCCACTGCGCAGCCTGTGCATTATTTCACTGCGTAGCCTGCGCAGTATGATTTTTAAAATTCAGGTTAGCTGATATAATTCTGGCCAGCTGGCATAATTCTGGCTAACTGAAATAGAATTATATTTTTCTTATATTTTATGCGAATTTCATGCGCAGGCTGCACAGCCTACATAGACTAGTATAATACAAAATTATAATTTAGTTTATTTTATAGACTAGATATAGTTTTTTATTTAATATAATCATAAATATTCAAATATAGATAAGTTTTTAACTATGCTAATAGATTTAAATTTTAGATAAATTAATAGTTTATTATTTATAATCTAAGTATTAATTCTTGTAAATTTGTAAATTAGACTTTGTTCTAAGAAACTCTTATAAAATCTTATAAAATTTTAATAAGAATAAAGGTTAAACCTCATCTTAATATTAAAAAAAAATTGTACTTTATTTATATATTATTTTTCTCTTAATAAAAATAAATAATTATTTTATCTATAATATATATGTTTTAAATATCAACTAACTTATTAATAAAATATTTTATTTCAAAAAAAAACTTTATATGTTTTTTAAAAATCATATACTAATTTTCTCTGATTATGCAAACTCAAAATGTAATTTAATTTTTTCTAAGCCAAATACATGATGATTTAAACTCTCTAAGTATAATTTTTCTAATACTAAGCATAAAATTTTCAAATTTTAATAAGTTATATAGTATTTAAAAAGAATTAATTAAACTTTAATCTTTTATTTTTTATACCTTCTAACTGCTTCTAATAACTTGCAACTCTTAACAGTTCAAATAGTTCATAATTATCAAGCAGGCTTAGTAAGTTTATATAAAGTTTTAAAACAAAATAGACTCTATTACTATATTACATAAAAAGAAAAGTAAAAAACCTTTTTTGAAATTATGATTCTTGAAAACTTTAATAATTACTTCATTTTAAACTTAAAATTAGAAAATAATTATATAATAAAACTGTTGTATCTTGTCTTACAAATATAGTTTCCTTTTACAAAACCTTTGAAAATAGTATTTAAAAATAGTCTATTATTGCAATTTACTATTTAAAATAGGCATATTGATCACAAATTTTATAGTAAAAAATTTATCTTTCCTGATCTATATAACAAGTTATGTGACTAATAAGCTATCATATTAATTAAAGATCTTTATTTTTTGAACATTTAATACTTTCTTATTATTTAATAGAAATCTGTAAATATAAGATATTCTACAGATTAATAGTAAATTCATATAGCTGAAAGCTACATAGATTTACTATTAATCTATAAAAAATTCTGTATTTACAGATATTTATTGAATAACTAGATTATCTTATAGGTATAATATAACAATCTATACAATACATCATTTAATAAACTTTTTTTTATTAATAGACTTTTTTATTTAGTAATTAGATCAATCTATTTAAACCTACCTTATCAATCTTTTTTTTTTCTAATATGAGTACAAGAAACACTAATATTGCACTAATTGAAGCCAAAGTTCTTGAATTACTAAGGCTTTTACATATGAAAAATACTAATAAATATACTTCTAAATAGTTATAATATGTTAACAGATTCTGTGAAATTATAAATTATGAAAAACAAATTAAAGAAATTGAGTTATAAAGTAAATTAAACAATTTTCTTTACAGGTTTCTTACTTAGCTAAAATAAATGAATAATAAAAATTATAAGGCAGAAAATATATATAATTGTTATACTTCTGTAACCTATTACTTAAAAGAATATAGTGAAATTAAACTGTATAAGTTGTGAGATTTATACAATTTTAGTAAGACATTGAGAACACTAGATAGTAAAATGAAAAAGTTACAAAGTAAGAGTTTAGATAAAATAGATCAAGCTTCAGCATTAACTTCTAAAGAGATATCCCAAATATTCAACTATAAAAAAATACAAGTAGAAACTAATAAAGGTTTAGTATAATGAGTTTTCTTTTAGCTATCACTTCTTTGTAGTTTTTATAGTAGCAATGCTAAAAGAATTAGGTTTTGTAATATTTCTCATCATGATGATAGTAGGCTTTACTTATCTTTAACTATGAAAAAAATAATTAGCATAGAGCTTTGAAGTGAAACAAATATAGAAAAAGTTCTATACAAAAAATACCTATTCTTTCAGATCAAATTAATAATCACTTTAAAGATATTTTTTTTTTTAATTCAGCGGTCATACCATAACTTTATTTAGATTTGTTTTCTATTTGAAAACAACATTATTTAGCTATATACTATCTAATATCTAATTTTTTAAGCTATGACTCACCTGGTTATCCTATAGATACCTATGTATGATCTGCTATAGTGATCTTTGTTCTATATTGAAGTAGTTTATAAAATATAAGCTACAACTCAGCATAAGAAGGATGCTACAGCCTATTATGACTAATTGGTTTCTACAATTCTGATAATATTGTAACCTTCTGCTTTACTATATTCTGCTAGAAGTTCTACCTTCATATTATCTCCCTTAATTCTGTTAATATTATATACTTCTATTTTTATTAACTCTTTTTCTTTATTTCTCTTAATAAAATTATCTTCTAACTCTCTTTCCTTTCTTATACTCTCCATATCTTTTTTATATCTTTCTTCAGTTTGGTTTGATGTTACTTTTGCTCTACTTTGTTTCTTAAGTTTTCCTTCTTGACCAACTAGAGCTTTTATTTGTTCAACTTTAGCAACTTTTAGAAATGATTTAGGGCTTCAGGTTCTCAATTGTTTTCAAAGCTGCTTAGTTTTTTCTCAAAAGGTTGAATACACTGCGCCATATATAAGAAGGATTCTTCATAAGTATTTTTTCTTTGTGTTTTTTCTTTCCCTTCTCTTATAATAGAGTTTCCTTACTTTTCTAGTTTTATGTATATTCTGTTTTCTGTTTTATCTTTTCTCTTAGTACTTTCTATTTTATTTCTGTTAAGAATATTTATCTTGTCAAAAGTTAGTTCTCGTCTCTTGAAACTCCTTGCACTTAGGTCATACATATGGAGTTCTTGTTTGTATTTTTCTTTAGAATAAGGTGTTTCCTCTTGTTTTGTACTATGTATCTCTCAAAACAGTCTTGTGTTATAATATTTAACAGTGTATTTTTGTGTCTAAGTTTTTTCTTGATAATTTCTAAATATTACTAATACAAAGCCTTTGTTGTTTCCATTTGAGTTTTTGAAGATATGAACTGCTTTTGCACTGATATATTTAAGTTGTCTAAGCAGTAATACTTCATTTACATTTTGTGAGATATTGTATAATTTTTCTATATGCTGTTTTCTGTTTTCTAGTATTTCCTTTCTATTTGCTCCTAGTGTTATACGTACTAGGAGTTTATTTGTGAAAGGAATTACTCAGATTTCTATTCCCTGTATGAAGCTGCTTCATTCTTTAAACAACACTTCTGCTCTTATTTTTTCAAAGTTTTCTTTGATCATTTCAATGTTTTTGACCCGTTCTAGGTATTTGATTACAAAGAAGACTTGTGACCTTGATATGTGATTAGGTATGTCTCATACAGTAATAAATTTTTCAATTCTTGGATACGAT